ATTTTATATTTTGGCTCTAAAAATGCTGCTTTTATTTCATACATTTAGGATTTAGGTTGATACATTTCCATTAGGTTGTTCACAATTTAAGTAACATTTGCATGGGGGGGTGACAGAACGTGTGTCACCCTTCTTATCCATCTGTATCCTATGGTGTTTTTTGGACGATGTGGTTATGTAGAAAAGACTCTTTTGTTCTTCTGTATGAATCTAAACCATTATTTATTTCTGCTCTTTATTCCCAAGATATATATATATATTTATAAAACCTATTAATCTCACAGCTTTTCCTCCCACGTGTCCACCTTTACTAATAAAATCTGAAAATATGTATTCGTCGTTTGTACTCCCTATTCTACTTGTTCAGAATCCACGGATAACTAGCCAGGAGGTGAGCATCATCTAGAGAAACTGGTAAAAAAGGCAAAACAGTTTGAACCCGACTGCTGTGTGAGAGCATTCAAGGCAGTCAGGGGAATGTAAAGACCTAGAAGCTGTTTGATCATCAACTGTTTGATCTGCTGGAATAAGCAATAAGGAAAACGATAAACTAAGAAGAGCTGACATTAGCAGAAAGACATAGAAATGGGGGAAGGCAACGAATACAACCCAGTCATCCAACGGGGAGATTTCCTCTACAGTTCATGTGTATGTCTGTTTTTGATGTTTGAATCCGCCGCGATCAGGTTCCTGATCTTGTGGCCTCGAGGCTCCAAGGCCAAGGGGGCCATGGAGCACACAATACATGGTCTTCTCTCTTGCTTCCTTCCTTCTATCCATTCATTCATTCCATTCATATATATATATATATCCATTATACACAAACACACACACACACACACACGTACATTGTGTCTATACAGCAACATTTGTCATAATACTCACCACTGTAGCTAATGGGGTTCTAACATCAAACACTTCACTATCTGAACAACTGCCAAATATAGACCCTTTCTTTTCATCGGGTCTACATACATCCGCACTCTGCTATTCCTTAATGGTTTCTGTGTGTGTGTGTTTTCTTCCTAACATATTGTTTAATCTTTTTTTTTTCTCCCTGCCTTCCATTCCCTTTTTCTTCTACTGTCATTTAAGGTTTTTAGATGTTTAGTCTGCGTAGAGTAGAGGCCATTGGGAACATGTGGAAACAGGCAGCAGACTACAGTAGGGAAATAAAAGGAAAGAAAAGTATAAAGTAAGAGCAGCAGCAGGAGAAAAGAGGTTGAAGGAACGTTTGCACCACTTGGTAGTCATCACAGAGAAACTCTCTCATTCAGGAACTTGCCGTGCAGCTGTCGCTTCAAGGAATGGATCACACACACCCAGTTCCAGATACATCACACGCATACACGCCACATCTTTCTTTCTCCCTGTCTCACACCGACACCCACACATACACTGCTGCTTTGGGGTGTGCTTTGAACTGATCCCTGCCACTGGAGAGGCACACACGGTAAGCTAGCTGATAATAATATTATCCTATGGCCTTCATATGGTAATATGGTTTTATTGCTATGAAGGAATATGAATATCATGCTTTCAAAGACAGCTTAGGGAATTACACGGCTGCCATGGCTATCAGCTTCAATAGAACATTTAGATTCCCTATTTATCTAGGGTCTAGGGTGGCAAATCTATTAAGTTATTTACCTTTGCTATGATGCGAACTGGCGTGTTGTTTTTTACAACCTGTGACAATGTAAAAAGACACACATTGATGTGTCAATGAGGTCCCACCTCAATGGGGGCACACATGAATAAACAGTATATTCTAACTTTCAAAATAAAGCTTTCCTTTAGTTTCCCTAAACTATTCGAATTTGTCTAATATAATCTTCCATTTTTCTTGATTTACTTTGTTCAGTTATCTTAATGATTTGGCTAACCTGACAATACCACGCCCCTTCTGCAGTTTGTACAGCCTTAATACAGTGATACCCGAATTTTTGTCCATTTACCCTGGGAGAATATGGGAGCATTTTTATGGATGAAAACAAATATTGGAAATACATTTTTGTCAGTAGTCAGAAATTACACCTGTAGTGTGTTTTTTGCACTTGGGCCCACTTAAGGTGTATTACACCAATTTAATGTCTCCGTCGCCTCCACCTCATGGAATTAGTAGAAGTATCCATGAATGTCTGAAGGAGGATATCCCTTCTTAAAGACATTTCCCTTCGAACCATCTGAAATCATGAGTGTGCAGCTGTAGATGCAGTCATGCTTAGGGGAATTAACGTTCTATTAAAATGTTTGCAAACATTCTTCTTAAAATGGTACCAATGCATTAAATACAGTATTTAGAGAATCTTTGATAAATACTGTATTTACCGACAGTTATATATCTCTGCACTTACACTAACAAACGGTTGCCCAACCTATAAAAATATCTTGCGTTTATAGAATGTTTATATCTTTGGCAGTTCTGGGATCAACAGAAAAGTACGTGGATAGGTTTTGAATAACAGGGTGACATAAGAAGTGTCATTCAAATGGCACTAACAATAACAACATACGCATGTTTACTCCTGCATAAATGAATGTTTTACTGACTATCGTGGTATTTAATTGTGGTGGGGAAAACACCATGATTAGACTCTGATTGTGCATTCTTTTTTTTTCAAAGAGGATTTCTGTGGTGTGGTTATTAATCAGACTATTCCACAGAATATGTAGCAAATTAGATAACTCTTACTTGAATTTCATCCTATATTTTTCCCATGTTGATAAAATTATGGTCCCAAAAACATGATACATCCAAAGGACGCATTATTATTAGTCTCAATGTTGCTATGGTGTGTGTGTGTTTTTGAGGTAGGGTTCCATTACGCACTTATCAGTCTGTTACCTACTCTGAGTGGCGGTTCGCAGGCCCCATGTCTTCCAAATCAGTATTTTCCAATTGGGAACTGAACTGATAGTTAAACCTATCTTTCCCTGGAGGATTTTTCCAAAATGTGACAATGTATTGTGGGCTCCAATGTCCAGTACCCGTATCACCTATTACCAATCAATAATTAGAGCAGGATGCTAAATTGAGCTCTTGGTTTGTGAACTTGGACATCAGCTCTAAAGATGTAAACTTCAAATATCAGAATCTCTCGCTTAAATCCTCTTCAATTTCAGAGATAACTAATCGTAGATAAGCTTAAACTTCACTGATACAGTGTTGCATACTTGATTCAATTCAGATATGTAATCTATGAAGATTTCCAGAGGAGATACAGTAATGCAAATAGACGGCGTAGTTTAAAAAAATATATAGTTCAAAGGAGGGATGTAGAACAATCTATGAAAGTATTGGACATATAAGAAGTTAATTGTCTGGTAATATCTCCTTGGAAACTCCTGAAAATGTATTTTAATGTCAGAAAAGCCTCACTTATCAGTGTTGGATGAGTACCAATTTTCTTCTGCTAGATTAAAAAAAATGAAATGTAAAATACTGTGGTTATTTTTTGCTGTTTACTTCAATTCAATAAACTGCTCATGGCATATGTTTCTCCTGGGTGCTGGCAGAAAATAAGATCTTTTAGACTGCAAGTAAGAGGAAAACAGGATACTAGTACAGATTGTTCTGCTCCCTCAGAAATTAAATCTTTTTTCAAACCCCTTCTGAAATGGTGTGTAAGCCAGTTAATACGATGTAATAGGTTGACTGGTGAGAGCTTCTGCAGCAAAATTACACTTCATAGGACCTGACTTTATATTGTATTTCAGCATCCATGCATCTTGAAGTTGGCACGTTTTTTAACTCAGTGCACTGTGGACATTTAGTGGAAACAGTGATGAACAATGTCACAGTTATGACCAAAAGAACCATCAAATGGATGTTGGCTACACAGAAAATGCACATTGAGGACTTGTGCGGTGAATAAACAGATCTTATTCATGGTACAAAATCCCAGTTAGATTACTGTGCAAAACAAAGGCATGTTTCCTAAAGGGTAATGTCAGATAAGGGCACATCTTTCCTTCTTAAAGATATACTGTATTGACAGTCCGTTTGAACTTGTTCTATGTCCACAACATCCCGTATGTGCGTAGCTACAATATTAAACAAATCATTAGAAAAGTGGGAAAATGCAATGCATACACACGAGAAAATGTTTAGAGAAGTGTAACTGAATTGTCTTCATGACTGCTTTTTGGGTAGCTGCCAGTTGTCAAAGATTAATGACACTTTTAACAGAGTGAAAGCCCATGAAATATATTTTATTAGTTTCTGTACTCCTAAATTAAATCTAAAAAAGTAGAGATTGAAGAGGTAACGGGGGTTAAGGGTTTTCCCTTTTCTGTAGTAGCAATTATAGATATCACAGCACAGCACTTGTGAATGAAAATACAGTGTACAACCTGACAAAGGGCAGTTGTGGAGGAGATAATTCATATTGTGATGAATGAATGCACAGTGAGAAATAGTGAGGAAACAGTTTTTCATGATAGCTATTGACATTGCATGAGAGCTCATGTTGGTTGAAGAACCTGTAATGTTTGGTTGTTTTTTCATCTTTGCTTGGCCTCGTCTACAGGTTTAAGATCTGTGTGGCCTCTTTGCTCTCACAGCCCTGCTAATGGTGTCGGCCTGTAACAAGAGGCAGCCCACATTGGACCGCTGCACTGCTCTCATCAGACGTACGCACACAGCCACCCTGAGAAACAGCGCGCTTAAACAAAGGGAACACATTTACATGCACATGTTAAAAATGACACTCGCCTGCTATCACGGTAGATTAGGTAGGTGGTTACATGCATACATTTTGACCCACTCACTGTCACACATACACAGGTGCACATTTATGTAACACTCGTGCACGTCTTAGCACGTGTTTGTAGTTGTTTAATGTGATAAAACATTTTATCGAACAGAAATGTCAATAAAAAGATGCAATATAAAAGAAACACTGCCAACCCCATATCCCAACCAGCAGGATCATTTATGAATCCATCAGTCAGTCAGTATATTTAAATATTGCAAGAAAATGTGAATCATTGCCTACCTCTATGTGGTGTTCCTCGATGATTTAAGAGTCAACATGAAGATACATTGTCACGACGGGTAGATAACTGAACAGAGAAATTATGGCCTTGGGAGATCTGAGAAAAGAAAACACAGAAACAGGACATAGGTTAGTGCATGATTTTTTTATATGAATATTCCTGCTTATATTGACTGCCTGAATAAACCATCTTAGTTTATCATTTTAGCAAAATAATATTTGCAATTCATCAGCTCATTATGTTTTTAAATAACCTGTGTTGGTTTCAACACATTATTGGCTAGCAGAAACCTGCATAAAGTCATTTAAATGTTGGATGCCGGGGCTAAAAATACGTTGGGGCACCTGAAATGTAGGTGCTGATGCAAAAGTTCTATCCGGTTATTTTTTTAATAAAGTTCAAAGTTGAAACTGACAGCCTGTACTTTTATGTTTTAGTAAAGAGTGCATAGCGACAATAACATCGGAGCCCCGACCTCATCTCATCAGAAAGACATAAAGCAGCAATGTGACACAACAGACCAGAAAACCAAACACTCTGATAGACAACGTCGTGAGATCTTTGTCGAATGCTCATCATTTTGTTTTACGGTGCTAAAAATGTATTCAACTGTGGATTCAATCAAGTTCCAACATCCACTGACATAATTTCACTGGCATTAAATTGCTAAATGGGTTCGGAGACATTCCTAAATCTGTCTTATAAAACAGATTTTTAAACCGTATTGCTTTGTGTTAACCATCATACTGCTCATCTGCATTATATTATCTTGAAAGTCATTGGTATTCTCCTCATAGAATACATCTTCCTCCATATTTAGCACCTCTTCTCTCTACTCAGCTATTTTAAATTGTAGTGGAAGGACTTGTGAGTAGGCTGGGTGTGTGCGTAAATGTGGGTGTGCATGAATGTGAAAGAGAGAGAAAAAGGAAAGTGTGAATAAAAAGCAAAAACCAGGGCATCCGTTAGGTGTTTATGTAAGGTTGTTGTTGAAGTTAATTGTAAATTATTACACGAGGAGCCACTTAATTAACGTCAAACACCAGCCGGTTTGAATTTAATTTTAATATGCTGTAATCAATGCTGTCACTAATACTGACTTCCATTAAATGGGTTACTTTGTTCAACCTGAACAATCCTATACTCGATAACATTGTTGGAAAATCGCTGCTTTGGGAGAGAAAGAGCATTTCGTATTTCCTCAACAAAGTGTTGGGGTTACAATGGACTCGTGTCACTGGTATAATATCGCATTTTATTTGTTTGCAAAACAAACCTTTTCGTAAGTAGGAAATACAGAATATATACTTAAGTTTCAGTAACAGAAAACAATATTTTTTTTCTTCAACAAAATTAGGACAAAATGAAGTTTTCATGTGTGTTATAAATGAATTGTGTGTATTTGTGTGCTTCTTGTATGCTTGAAGCAGCAGCATAAATACGTACATTTGTGTACAAGTGTATTACCTATAGAACATAATATGCCATCATAAAAATAATGTTTTTAATAATACGTAACTTTAAGTATGACCTAAAAGGGCCTTCAACCTACTGTGTACATATTTAAGTATTGCTCTAATCCCATCTTCTCTGCTGCTCTTCTCTTCCAATTTCTCATGACGCACTGAATCCTGCTCTTCTTAACCCCCTTTTGTGTACATGCACTCTTTCTGTCAACCATTGGACTCATTTTAATCAACCACACGACTGCTGCCCTTGTCACGCCCTTCAAAGGCAGAATAATTATCTGGTGATCATGATCAGAATTATTCTGTTTCCTACAAACGCCTTCTGCTCTACTTTGCAATCCAAACGAGCGAAACAACATTAACACAGAATCACACGGATACTGGTGCACAGGCGTGTCTCGTTCCCAGTCTGCGTCATTTTACTGTGTCATCGCTGGAGTCACATGGGACACCGGAGACACCGATGCTACTGGTGTGTGGTGATTATGCTGAAAGTGACTAATCTACAGAGATCAATCAAGGGATGAAAAAACACTCTCTTTTTCTGTGGTCATGTTATGAGGTAAAATATTATGCTGTTGTTCTATCAATTGTCATTCGGTTTTAACTATCTCATTTAATGGTGAACCAAGGCTTTTTGAGATGAACCCTTGGACACCTAATAATCAGAATAAGTATAATGGAATAGCAACAAACATCAAACCATACCAAGTCTGCAATCACAAGTGTGTTTTCAGTTTTTCCAACCCCCTCATATTAAGATGCCTTGATATGACAGCTCTGCTATTATAGAGGAATATCTAGGAGGTAAAGTTTGAGTGTGCTAAAGCCAAATCTCCCAGTAGCGTGACAAAAATAGTGTTAGTGTCGACTGCAGTTCTCATGAAAAGAGACGGTGATGGATAATTCCTGTGAGACCTCCACTTAAAGGACAAAGGTAGAATACAATGCACGAAGAGAAACTGTTACCATGGTTACCCCTAGTTTGTGAATCATGGGGTCCATTTAATCAACGAATTATCCAAGCAGCTTTTTCGCTCAAGAAATGAATGTCAACATTCAAAATGACCTCATTAAACTTTACATCGCACGCCCCTTTGGACTAGATTTGATTAGAAATGTTAATCTCCTTGCTGAGATCATTTGAATGTTAGTAAGGTACGTCAACTATTGTTGTTTTTTCCTTCTTTTTTAAAATAAAGGGTAGCCTAGGGAGCGAGGAAGTGGTAGGAAAAGGGACATCACCATACGACTCTAAAACATGCTTTAGAAATGCAGAGCATGATGAGACGTACAGAAGGGAAGATAAAAGCACCGGAAATAAAGCATGAAATCCGGAAAAATTATTTAAGTGGAGTAATTTGTCAAAGCAATGAGTCTGCCAAATGCAAAAACATTTATTCTAATTCTAATAAAGTGGAAATTACCCGGTTTATTAGTTTAGTGCAAAGATGTCTATCAAAAAAGCATTTTGTATGATTAAATGTTAATGTGATGACCTCTAAAAGCTCCCGTCTCTCCCAGCAAGCCTCTTAGCACTATACGCATTGCCTCGCGGCGTCACACAGTGAGTGCCTACAGTATATTTATGAAAGTATGTGCAAAACTGTACAGAGGCGCACACAGGAGCCAGGGGGGGTGGGGGTATACCCAACTCTGATGTTGTGTGTTGTGTCATAGGCCACGCTCACATATATGTGCGCCGTGCACTTAAGATCACTTACGCATGTAGCTAGAAGCGCACAGAGGCGCAAACCCTGCAAACTCTTGTGAATATGGAAGCACTATCGGGCACTTTGAATGTACAGCTGCACTCCGTTGACGGATAACCAAGGACATAGATGCAGTATAGAGGTAAATCATTTATTACCATGTAATGGAAATGTATTGTATTGGAATGTGTTTTTGATATAAACATGTGAACAACTAAGTTTTGTTTTTTAAAACATATGTACAATGTTTTCAAATTATGAGACCCTAACCAATAGACACATTTGACAAAAAAAAAACTTGTGGAAACAACCAGTTGACTAAATGAGTATTTCACTGTTCTGTGGACACACACACGCACACACACACACACACAAGCAGAGGATCACAGGCAGACACACATAACCACATGCAAACACACATGCATCTGAACCCATACACAGAGTGCCTAAACTGTGCTAGGGATTAGAGATTATAGAGAGAAAGAGGATGAATCTATCTGAACACAACAGTCCATAACATTACCACACGTCTCCATCTCCAAACATTCATCCCGGTGATAATCAACTGTTTGGCAGATACTGGACCTCCGTTCAGATATCCGTTGCTTAAAGGGGTCATACTATGAAAATTCCACCTTGATAGTGCTTCTTCACGTTGATGTGTCTGTCTAGCATGTTTATCTAAACGCTGGAAAAAGAAAAAAAAAAAAACTTGCTTGTTTTTTCTATGATTCCTGTAATGAATGAATAGTAATTACAGTAATACAGCTCGTTTGGATGTTCATCATCGTCATCAGACCAGGGGGGGATTCTCTCTTACATGGCCTTGGTCCTCCCCCCCCACCACATCCCCCCAGCACTCCGAAGCACTCAACTTCGTTCTTGGTGGGCAAAAACGGAACATTTGAGACAGAAGGTGAATACAGGGATATTCACACAGACAATACGAGAAAAATGCTTTTTTTAACATCAAAGCATGTGGGCGTGTTAAGGCGGAAATCATGGTAGTAAAACGAGCATGATGTCTCCTTTGAATGTAACTACTCTGCAACGCAGTAAGATTGTATAATATGTTATTTTTTTACATTTAGTCCTTCATTTTTAAATGTGAGACACACACCAGAGTTATACTTTTACAACCTAATTGTCTCCTATAACTAATGATGTACCTGAGCTTAACGGTGCACACAGAGATCTAGGACTGTTAAATATGTTTTATTTCAAACACATGCCCTGACATTTTAAAGGTAGTTGATCATTTGTTTGACACGATGCAGTTTGAATGACAAACTTGGAGCCCTGGCCGTGACCGTGACAAGATTGACAACACAAGCAAAGTCCAGGCCGGGTGTTGACTCAACACAAAGTGTTACCATACCATTTATCTCAAAAAGGACTCTGTCTCCCCACCAGCTTCACAAAAGCTCCTGTGTGCCAAATTACACGCAGACACACACACACACACACACACACGTACGTATGATTTTCTCATCTGAAACCATGTATCCCGCCCCACTCTCCCCTCTCCGTCTGCCAACCACTTACAGCATCACTATTTCTCTCTATTTAGCCTGTCCACACCACCGGGGAGGCAGTGTGCTGTGTGTGTATGGGGGTGACAGAGTGTGTATGTTCCACTCCACCACAGTGTGTTGATAGGTTGTGATAGGTCTCGGGGAGACGGCCAGGGTGCCGCGGTTAACATCTCATTCCCCCCCCCCCCCCGCCCTCCACGCAACACCACCAACACCTGTCTCTCTCTCTTTCTTAAATACGCCTCCACGTTCTGTGTGGGAAATCTCTTCGTCAGTTCTCGTTATTGTTGACTATTGTCTAGGATGGAACATCATTTGTACATGCAGCAGTTTGACCATGAGATTTTAAGTCTGCACTCTCCAAACTGTGCCTTTCATCA